ACCCCAACATGTATTTAATGAAGAGGAGATAGATATTGTTGTTGATATAAACGTTGATGGAAATAAAACATAAAAACGTGAAAATAAATTTTGGTTACTGTTACATGTACAGAAGTTTTAAATTTACTTAAATTAAGTTTTTTTTACCATGTATTACGTTTTCAACATTTAAAAAAGTTATATATAGTATTAAAAGAAGGCTGAATTAATTTTTTTTTTTTTTTTTTTTTTTTTTTTTTTTTTGGTATGTATTTAGGTGCTCCCAGAAGTCCTTACGGTCTTATCATAGAGCACCGCGGGAGAGCATTTAACAGGAAGTTCACCCTTCTTTCCGTACCAATGTCGCTTGTTGGGCTGGAGCTGGCGTCGAACCTGGGACCTCTGGGTTCTGAGCCAGAACTCTAACCACTGCGCCACGGCTGCTCATAATTTAAATTAATAGAAGTATCTTTATACATTTCAGTAACTAAAATCTTCTTTAAAATGTCACTTTTTTATGTTTTATTTCCAGTTAGTTTTTATCTTTTATTTTATTTCTTAAATGTCAGTTATAACTTATTTAAAAATATTTCTTAAATTTATAGCATAATATAATTATATTACCAAATAATGCATATTTTAATATCCTAGTAATAAAGGTTTACTACATAAAAATATTATTATATTTAGTCTATAACATATTATAACTGTGAATAAGATATTAGTCATAAACATTATAACTGACATTTGAGAAACTTGTGTATATTTTATTGTAAATAAAACTTGAAAATGTAAGCACATCTTTAAAATTCTTTAAATTAGTTATTTATCGTAGAAAAGTTTGAAAGTATATTTTTTTTAACATTACAATACAATAATTTAAAAATTATATGTTGTTTTTAATTTGTTACAAATAAATTATATGTTATATGTTAAATATTAATTATATGTTGTTTTTAATTTGTTACAAATAAAAAGAGATTGCACTTAATTTAATTTAAAAGACACTTTCTTTTTATTTAATATTGCCAATTCAATATAATTTCTACGCTGCTGACCAAGTAAACGAAGTTTCTTCAATTGCAGGAACGATTTCCTCGGCATCTTCATCCTCGAAAATCGTTCAAAGTTTTCGCAATATTGTGCAGTATAAAGTTCGCAGTGATACATGAAGCAATCATCTTCGGCTTAATTTTTACCTATAAAATTATCACACCACAGATACTGTTGAATCAACAGTAACTGTATAACAACAGGGATGCGGAGTCCCAAAAAGGACTCCGGATATGAAAGGCACAAAAAGATTACTTCTTCCTTGTTTTTGATTTCCAGGAGCTCTAAAAATATTAATAAGTTTATGGACTACTAATAGGAAAAAAATTAAAACTTTTAGGTAAGAGAAACAATAATTTTTTGAACCCGAAGTCCTTACGTATAATTGGGGCAAGGACTCCGGGCTTAAAAACAATAAGTTTCAAGTCATTAAATCTAACCAATGTTTTACATAAGTCAACAAACATGTTTAGAGCTTCTGGACACTACAGATTTGGAAAAAGTAGAGATATAATACCGGAGTCCTTTTGGGACTCCGCATCCCTATTGTCGATTGAATCAAACACTTTTCTATTATTAGGCTCTTCAGCAAGTTCTCTATAGGGTTTAACAATTCTTGCATGGGTGCAATCAATAGCTCTTATTGTACAGGAATAGCCTCTTTTGTTTGCCCATTCCAGTTTTGCTCTTAAAATTTGTTCTTTTGTATGTGGGAAAACTATATACTGAAAAGTCAAATCAAAATTTTTTGAAGGGTCAAAAAGACAGTATTTAAAACAGTATTGCTAAAATTATATTCCAAAAAAATAATTGTGTCAAAAACGTGCTATTATAATTATAAATAAATGCATAATGTAAAAATATATAGATATATACATTAATAGTTAAAAAATAGTAAAATATATAGGTAATATAACAAAATCAATGCCCGATTAACAACAACAACAAAAAAAGAAATTATTATAGGTGCTCGTAAAATTAGAAGCAATTGCTTGCCGTTTTTTGAGTTAAAGCTTTTTTATTCACGCGCTTTTCTCATATGTGAGCAATCGCTAAACATTTGAGCAAAAGGCCATGAGTAAAAGCTTTCGCGGAAAAAAGAGCAATTGCTCTAAATTTTTATTCTAAAAACTTCATCAAAGAAGGTAAAGAACTCCGAAAAAGAAATTGCTAAAATGACACAAAACTTAATAACAGAAACATATGAACCAACATTTCTAGAAGCTTTCACTGCTTGTCAATTAATTCCTCTAGACAAAATCCAGGTATTAGGCCAATTGGAGTAGGAGAAGTATTAAGGTGTATCATAGGTAAAGTAATTGGCTGGAGTTTTCAACAGTGAGATAAAAGAGGCAGCCGGGCCATTACAAACATGTGCTGGACATGGGGCAGGAGCCGAAGCGGCTGTACATGCCATAAAGGAAATATTCGACAATGTGCAAACAGATGCAATACTTTTGATTGACGCAAAGAACAATTTAATTGTATGAATCGACAAGTCGCCTTACACAACATCCAAATCGTTTGTCCATTAATTTCAATTTACTTAATCAATACTTATTGAAATCCTTTAAGGTTCTTTGTGGCAGGGGTAAAGAAATATCATCCCAAGAAGGCACAACTCAAGGTGATCCCCTTGCTATGCCATGGTACTCTTGTAACACCACGATTATTATAGAACACTTACTTGTAAATTACCCACAAGTAAAGCAGGTGTGGTTAGCAGACGATGCTGCAGCTAGTGGAAGCATTGCAAACTTACATAGCTGGTATCAACACCTTATTGATGAAGGATGTAAACATGGCTACTATGTAAATCAATCTAAATGCTGGTTAATTGTAAAATCCCCCTCGTTAGCAGAGAATGCAGGCATAGTATTTGGTAAATCGGTCAACATAACTACAGAGGGTCAACATTTGGGTTCAGTAATAGGTTCGCAAAATTTTAAGAACAAATATTGCACTGAGAAAGTAGCAAAATGGTTAACCGAGTTAAAGCAACTTTGTAAAGTAGCACGCTTTCATGGCGTTTACAAAAGAATTTCGTTCAAAATATACATATTTCCTAAAAACTATTCCAAAATTTAAACAATATCTAGCGCCCGTAGACGAAATACTTAGTCATTTGTTGTTACCAACTCTTTTTGGAAAAGATACGCCCTTTGAGGATCACATTAGAAAACTTTTTACATTAACTCCTCAAGATATAGGATTGGGTATACCTATACTAGTTGAAGAAGCGCCTCACTAGTTTTTATCATATGTAAAATTAACTAAAAATTTTTTACAGCAAATTATAGATCAAGATACATATATATATATATATATATATATATATATATATATATATATATATATATATATATATATATATATATATATATATATATATATATATATATATATATATATATATTTATATATATATATATATATATATATATATATATATATATATATATATATATATATATATATATATATATATATATATATATATATATATATATATATATATATATATATATATATATATATATATATATATATATATATATATATTAGGGTGGTTCAAAAAACAACATTTTTGAAAAAATTCTGCTCCTAACCCCTAAATGTGTTCTATTTAATACAAAAACACTAGGTTTAATTTTTTTTTGAATAAAAAATATTTTTAGGGGTGCCGCCAGACCCTCGAATATTTACCGGGTCCCTAATATTTTAAAAAAAAATGTTTCTCAAAAATAGGTCAACCTGGTACTCAAATGAAGTGAAATTATATAAAAATTTCAAAAATAATATTCATTTTTAAAAATAAATTGATATTTAATTTTATTTATCAAAATTATCATGCAAAATTCACTTTTTTTATTTTTTGCGAAAAATCATGATTTTTTATGTAATAAAACTTAATATAACAATATTTTATTTAAATGAATATTATTTTTAAAATTTTTATATAATTTCACTTCATTTGAGTACCAGGTTGACCTATTTTTGAGAAACTTTTTTTTTTGAAAATATTAGGGACCCGGTAAATATTCGAGGGTCCGGCGGCACCCCTAAAAATATTTTAGGGGTGCCGGAGGAGAATTTTTTCAAAATGTTGTTTTTTGAACCACCCTAATATATATATATATATATATATATATATATATATATATATATATATATATATATATATATATATATATATATATATATATATATATATATATATATATATATATATATATATTTCAAATTTTTATTTCATTTTATTTAAATTAGATTTGAGACCAAACATGACTTAATTTGATAATATTAGAGATTCGTTAAATGTATAGGCACCTCTAAAAATGTTTTTAATAAAAAAATGATAATTTCAGATTTAATTTAATATATCGCGACGTTAGAATTATCTTGTGCTATCTCCATGTTTTTGCAAACTGAGAAAATCGATGTCAAAGTTTGAATTTGTTCGCAGTTAAATTGAAAAAATATTTTAAGAATTTAGGTATTTCCTAAGATTTAAAAATGTTTTATTATTAATTTTTAGATTAAAAAAACTTTTTAAAATTACGCTAACGCCCTTTTTTTCGCACCCTCTTTTGGAGATAGAACAAAATAACTTTGGTTTTTAGTAAAATTCAAAAATATTATGTTGTTACATCATATATATTAAACATATTAAGTACATTTTTCAACAACGACATGTTAGAAATTGATGAAATTTTGTTCTACCTGCTAATTATTCTTACGCAGTACCATACACTCCTAATTTATGGGCATGGGCCCCTAATTTAACGAGACCCTTTTCAAAATATAAGACGCTTTTTGTATTACCTAAAAAATTAAGTTTTTTTAAATAAAATGAGGCCCTAATTAGGAGAACTTTTAGAAGAGCCTCTAACGACACTGTTCTTACGACTTACATTTACTTTAATTACCTGTAGGCGCCGGCCCTGGACAAGACTAAGACGTCTAATTTAAAACGGAAAATTTGGCTGCGTAATAATAATATAAACGTATTAATATAATATAAACGTATAAAATAAATTATGAAAGGTATATAGGAAAGAGTTATGTTAAAAAAAATGTAATAATAAAAGAAATAACATTATGTAACTATCTGGTAATTCACAACAATTCAACTAATCTAATCACAAACTCCATGCAAGATGAACTTGACTTTATTTTTCTTATGCCTGTGTATCCATTAATAGAGTTTAACTTTTTATTAAAAGTTATTGCAAATATTTACAAATAAAAAATTGTTACTCAAGTTAACGTCAGGAAGGGCATCAGGTTGTGAAACATTGCTTTAACTCTTTCATAGTGGCCTTTATGTCACTATGGAAAACCATCCAAACCAAACAAGTGGGGGAAAATGAATATAAAAGTACAAAAAAACAAACAAAAAAAACACAAGCTAAACAAAAATTTTTATCAAGATTTCAAAATAATATTATTTCAATGTGTTTTATATTTATATTTATACTACATAAATATTTTATTTAAATATGTTATTTATATGTATATTATTTATATTATTATATATATATAAATATGTTATTTATATTTATACTAAACATATAACAACCCTAAAAATATTTTGACTTTATTAATGTTTTGTAAATGTTCAATTTATTATTGTTTTATAAAATGCAAAATCAACAGCAGGCATGTATGAACATATATACATGGAAATGATATCATTGGCTTTTGCAACAGATATAGACTGATAAGAAGCACGAAAGCAAGCTGCCATTGGTATATTGGTATTTAATGGTTTTGCAACAATGGTTGATGCTGCTTTCTTGACAGACTTATTTATACGAGCTTGTGAATAATTATCTGAAAACGAGGTTTTAAAAAAAACATGGTATGGCAGTCCGTTTTGATAAACAAGATTTTTAACCTTTGAATAAGGCACTAACTTATAACTTGACAAACCAGCGACAACTGAAAAATTCTTTACATCTCCTAATTGCATTTGGTAAACACAGAAAGGTTTTTTACGGTTTACATTTTTAATAGCTCTTTCTAGCCCAAGTGGACTAAATATTTCTGCAGCAGAGAGGGATTTTTCAATCTGACTATGAATGTTGTCACATTCTTGAATGCTGGAATGAAACCTGGCTCGCAGAACTTCTGTTCAATTACTTTTATTTGTGGGTATCGTATTATAAATTCACACAAAGCTGCTGACATGAAACTATTGCGGTTTTGTGGTACACATGAATCGAACCAAAGTATGAACTTATTTATGTCAAGGTCAGCCATGATTTTCAAAAGCAAACATGTTACAGCACTGGCTAGATCATTTCCTCCACGACCAGTCATGGCTTTGTGCCAAAGGATGCAATAACCCTTCCTGTTAAGCGAGCAATGACCAGTTAAGTTATAATTTGAAAGTTTTCGTTTGTAATAAAAGTTTCCCACATTAGCTCTAGGCAAATTTAAAACATTTTCAAGGTCAATACAAACAATTGCAGTTTTAGAATCAACATTTTGGCGATCATTTTCACGTTCAGTTTTGGTATCATTCCTTGATTTTATGTGCTTATTATAACTATCTGTTTGTTCATTGCTTGCATTAACAATGTTGCGATACTCATAGCATGTGTCACTTAAATCTTTCTTCGGTTTTTGAAATTCTATATTGAACTCGTGATTAAATATATAACGATACATATGTTCTTTTGCTGGAGGAGAGACATTTTCATCACAATATATTTTATAAAGATCATACATTCTACCTATATTTAGTGATCCTTCCATGTATTCTTTATGTGTCTTTTTCCTGCTATAATGAGCATCAATTCTTGGGAAAAGGTTAATATGGTCTCGAACAACTTGTTTAGACTCTTCTAGTAACCTTTTTTTAACATGTTTCCCTGATTTTGATTGCAATGGTGTTCCAGTAGTTAAAGATTTATTAAACTTATGAAAGTAAAACACTCTATGGCTGCTAATATTCAATGTTGAAAGATAATATGATTTACAAACTCTATATTGTGTATTAGAAACAAAAAAGCTATAATAATAAGATGTTTTTCTTCTTGAATTGTCACCAGCAGCTGTCCGACAGCGTTTTTTCTCCAGATTTTCAGTAGTTTTAGAATAGAAATGTTTTTTTCCGTCATCATCTAAGGTCCAAAAGTTATCAAATATTATTTGACGCTCAATCTCAGATATATTGGTAGAACATTTAAATTTACAATTTCTGCAACTTTTTAGTGCAACAATAGATCTTTTTGGCATTTGTTCTCCTTTCGTATTTTTATAAGCTTTACCCGACTGACGTTGGATTTTTCTTACACTTTGTTTCCAACTACTCCTATCAGCTTTACGTTTCCTAGAAACCCCACCATGGGGCGACCGACGAGAAGGTGTAATGCCAAGCAGCTCTAACGATTAAAATATTAATTTTTTATTATCCAGGATGTATAAATAATAACTTTTAAATTTAATCTAAAATGGCACGAGCAAAAGTCGAATTCTACTTTTCCAAAATTATAATACAAATTAAGTTGAAAAACTACCTTCGTTTTGATTTAGGGGAAGTTCCATTTCTTGGTCAATATTTGCAGTTGCCATTTTGAAAACAACAAAACTGATAAAATTATTCCGAACAACTTTGTAATTGTAATATGATTGGTTGATTGGAGATAGAACAAGATAAAATTTTCACTATTTGCGCTTAGGAGGAACGGAAGAGCTCTTTGAGCATGCGCAAAAAATTCTGATTGGAGAACGGGTTTAAAAAAACTGTTTGCGCATGCTCAAAGAACTTTTCCGCTTCTCCAAAGCGCAAAAAGTTCTGAATGGAGAACGGGCTTAAGAAATAGATAGTCTGGTCACTCGGGCCGTATTATTTGATTTTTCTAATATTCGTTAAAAACAGGTACTAGGTAAAATGCGAACTGCGAACCGCGAACTGCGAACCGGTAAAATGCGAACTTTTTTGCGAACCATTGTCCTATTGGTTGTTAATGATGTAATGTTTTATTTCCGTTAAATAATTCATTTAACGGTATATTTTAAGGACTTTTAAGCGAAAAAATTAATTAAAAATAAATAAAAGGAAATTAAGTGAAACTTAAAAAAATACAATATAATAATTTTTTTTTTAAATTATTTGATAGACTGCCCGCCCAAACCAAACCCTCAGTCGATTTAGCAGCACTCCGTTGCGAGTCAGGCTAAAGATAGTCGATGTAGCAGCATTCCGTTACGAGTCAGGCTATAAGATAGTCGATGTAGCAACGCTCTACGCATGTTTTACAGTTAAAAAATAAAAAATTTACTTTAAATAAAGCCTTAAAATAGATAATTAAGAATTGGAGAGTTTTTTTATTATTATTTTTATCATAACAATAATGGTCTCTAAAATATAATGTTTTGGTTCGCAAAAAAGTTCGCATTTTACCGGTTCGCAGTTCGCGGTTCGCAGTTCGCATTTTACCGACAACCTTAAAAACACTTGAAAACTGTCGAACGGCCAGGAACAGACTGCACAAAATATGGAAACGGACATAGAGTTAAATAGCGAATTTGAAATTGAAACACTATTTTTTTCTTTGGAGGACGATTTCCTCTTTCAAGACGAAAATTTTAATAAAGATTTAGACGCCTTGGTGTTCCATTGAACCAGTTAAAAGCACATTTTCTTGTACAATTTGCTCTAAGAAATGCATATCTCAAAGAGGCCTTACAAGGCATACAAACTCACAGCATAAAGGTATTCCTTCGGACTTAACATTACAAAATCCTAAACCCCCTATTCTTCTTAGCGAGTTTAAAAGTCTGCTTGATAAAAGCATTACTACTTTAATTGACGACGAATGCTATCCTGATTTGTATAGAAACGAGTTGAGAATAAATCATGCAATGCTATTAGAAACTTCACAACAAACCCTATCTTTATTAGAGACAACAATAGCCAGTTTTCAAGCTAATGGTGATGCAGAAAAGTTTTATCCTCAATTTTACAAAGATATTAATTGTGATATTTTCATAAACTATCTAAGTAAAAAAACAACTAGACTTCTTGGATGTGAACTATGCAATCATGTTTTAGCGTTTCTTACAAACTCATTTTACAATAATTCTTTAATAAATTTAAATGATTTATCATCTTTTGAACTTTCAGATCGAGATAAAGAAATAATCTTGTATTTAAGTGGCTATGTATTCAGTACATTTTATTGCAGAGTTCGGAGTTCACGGTTATGGCAGCAAAAGTTAAGCACAGACTGCCTTTCACTTCTTAATGCTGGTAAAATTGAAAATTTTTTAAAGAATCCTGAACCATCCACTGAGTTTTACCATAAATTTGTAAATGCAAAAAATCGCGGTGGTTTGTGGAAAGTGTCCAGTTTTAGAGATCTTTACCAAAGTCGAGGTTCTCTTTCGCCAACAAAGTAATGGTTTTGTAAAAAAAATTGATTCAGAACTGATTGTAACAGAAATTTTAAAAAACAGTGTTGTTATGGCAAGCATATCTGAACTTCGTAGTCTTTGCACAAATCAAGTATCCAAAGAACTGTCTTTAAACTTGTTTTATCATCTAGTTACACTTTATGTTAGAGTAAGATCTTTTTCATATGCAAAAGAAAAACTAAGTTTCCACAAACTTAAAGAAAATTAAACAAAGTCAAAATCACTCCGTTCAAAAATGAAAAAAACATCTATTGGATTCGAATAAATAGTTTAATGAAATATCACATTCAAAAACTGCTATTTTCATAGCAACAAATTTCATAAAAGCATAATTGGCATAGTAACTCTGTTATTTATTTTTCATAAAAAATATTTTGATTTGTTTGTGTCAATAAGTGATTGATAAGGAATTTAGGACCTTAACCCCAAAGGACTCTTATGAAATAGTAGTACAAAATTATAATATACACATAATAGTTTTAAATTTATAATAAACAAAAACTTTCATGATAACTTTCTGCTCTGACTGACTAATAGACTCCTGATATAATATATATAATTTTATTGTGATACTATCGCTAGTGATACTACCTCCTACCTCGGTTTGAACAACCTACAACAAATGCTATATATATATATATATATATATATATATATATATATATATATATATATATATATATATATATATATATATATATATATAATATATATATATATATATATATATATATATATAATATATATATATATATATATATATATATATATATATATATATATATATATATATATATATATATATATATATATATATATATATATATATATATATATATATATATATATATATATATATATATATATATATATATATATATATATATATATATATATATATATATATATATATATATATATATATATATATATATATATATATATATATGAAGAGTTTATTTTCAAAACGCGGTAAACGCCATTTTCAAAATTTTTGAGAAATTGTGTGGTTTATTTTTAGTTTATAAGGACCTAGCAGACATTGTGTCCGAATATATGATAAACGAAGTATAACTCAATATTTTTTTACTTCTAAAAAACATTTACTTTCAAAACGCGGTATAAAATTTTTTATTTGTTTTCAAAATGCGGTATTTAATTTTGACCAATCCGTAGCAAATGTATATTACTTCTGCGCAAGCGCAAATATTTTAAAGTTGCGTTAAAGAAATGGCGGATTGCGATCGACAAGATTAATGCGTTACCTAATATCCTATTTCACATAGAAAAAAAGATATGATGTATGAAACAAAAGAAAAGAAAAGCATTTCTTAATTCTAGTGTTCGTTTAAGCTACCATGCTTTGTTTGTTTAACTGAACGAATTATGGAATAATGATAGAAAATATATTAAAAAGGCAACTTAAATTAATAAGTTTAAACATATTGTTACCTGTTTTTTAATGGAAAGCATTCAATAATAATACTTCCTTTTTATTTTTTGTTAAACCGACAATTGCTTTGTTGCAAATAAAATGAGGCTATTGCAGTCTTTTATTTTTAAAATTTTATTTCGTTCAAAAATATAACGATGACTTTTACGTTATATTAATTGTCCATTAGTTCTATGGAGACTTAAAAATAGTGATCATCATTGTTACAACTACACAACACTAAAAAAATATTATTGTTTATTGTCCATATTTAACTCTCCGAAACAAATATAAATTTACAATTGCGAATTGTGAAATGTAATAGTTTACATTACTTTAATAAAACATTGTTTACATTCACATTATCAATAAAATATAATGACCAAACATTAAATACACATATTTGTTCAATATGTTAAATAAAATTAATCATTAAAACTTATTCAGATCTTTTAAAGTTTAAAAACTTTCCATAACATCTTTATAAAATGGATATACCGCATTTTGCTAACAAGCTTTAATTGGATATACAGTATTTAGAAAATAAATGCAAAATTATTGACAAAAAAAATAAATTTTTCTATTAAATAATATTTTATTTATTAACATTATATAATATACTTTATGTATATATACATTAAGAAACAATAATTTTTCCAAATATACGAGACATGTTGGTGTGGCGAAAAAAGTCAATTATCTCAATACCACAAAAATGGATATACCGCATTTTGAAAATACGCTCTTCATATATATATATATATATATATATATATATATATATATATATATATATATATATATATATATATATATATATATATATATATATATATATATATATATATATATATATATATGTGTGTGTGTGTGTGTGTGTGTGTGTGTGTGTGTGTGTGTGTGTGTGTGTGTGTGTGTGTGTGTGTGTGTGTGTGTGTGTGTGTGTGTGTGCTTATGTGTGTGTGTTTATTTAGTGTGTATATTTGTGCCAGATTTATATAATCAGGGGCAAAATATTTTATATAATTAGCTAGGCAAAATCAATTTTTTAAGTTAGTCCCCTAAAAGAAAGAAAAAGTATCCTAGTTGGCCTATTAAATCTTACCCAAATGTCAAAATTCTAGTCATCTCTTGTATTAATCAGATTATATCTGAGATTATATATAAAATGGGCCTCTCCCAGCTCAACTGGGTCAAGATTATGACAACATACATCTAAATAAATAGGTGCAAAGTAAAAGTTTTTTTTGTTATTCTTACTTATTCATGTGTTCCAGATTTATTTGTGTGCAAATAATTTTTTTTTTGGGGGTGGGGGTAATAAGCATATCTTCTAACTTAAAAACAAAGTTCTTGATTTTTTTATTTGACATCTAGATCCAAATTTGTCAACTTGTTGGCTACAAATCTAGATGGGGTGGGAGGAGGGGATATTATACCTTATAATAGCCCTGCCTCTACACAACAACCTTATTGATGAGTAAGAGGCAAATTTGGTGTTTCAAAATATAAAGAATGTCCTTGATTTTTGTCTGATGTCCCTAAAATCATTAGGGCCTAGGGTAAAATTATCCTGTTGCCTCCCCACTTTCCTAGAAACAACTCTATCTCTCTTAGGGGCTGTCCATTAATTACGTCAACAAATTTTTTGAAATTTTTACCTCCCCTTGTCAACAATTTGTCAAACTTTTAGAGACACCCTTTATAAAATTACGTCAACTTTTGATTATCCCCCCCCCCCTCAAATGAAAAAAATACCGCCTAATTTTCTGTTTTTTGAGTAATGAAATTTTT